TCCATGCCTGCCTGCCGCCGGCGCGGTACGTACGTACATGGAGGCTAGCAGGTCGTCGTCGTTGCTTCCGGCGGTTCTCCTCCTGGCCCTGGGCCTCCTCCTGAGCCGCCGCGCCGGCTCCAGCCCTCCGCCGGACGCGGTGACCTGCGCGCGCGGCACGTCCGACTGCACCCTCGCCAACGCCTACGGCTCCTTCCCGGACCGCACCGCCTGCCGCGCCGCCGACGCCGCGTTCCCGCGCACCGAGGCCGAGCTGGTGGCCGCCGTGGCGGCCGCCGCGGCCGCCAAGCGCAAGGTGAAGGCCGTCCCCAGGCACTCCCACAGCTTCCCCAAGCTGGCCTGCCCGGGCGGCCGCGACGGCACCGTCATCAGCACGGCGCGGCTCAACCGGACGGTGCGCGTCGACGCCGCCAGGGGGCTGATGACCGTGGAGGGCGGCATGGTGCTGCGCGACCTGATCCGCGACGCCGCCGCCGCGGGGCTCGCGCTGCCGCACTCACCCTACTGGTACGGCGTCTCCGTCGGGGGCCTGCTGGCCACGGGCGCGCACGGCAGCTCGCTGTGGGGGAAGGGCGGCGCCGTGCACGAGTACGTGGTCGGGATGAGGATCGTCACGCCGGCGCCGGCCAGCCAGGGGTTCGCCGTGGTCCGGGAGCTCGGCGCCGACCACCCCGACCTCGACGCCGCCAAGGTCTCCCTCGGCGTCCTTGGCGTCGTCTCGCAGGTACGTCCTACACGTGTGGTAGTTGCCAATGCGCATGCATGCCAATGTGCTGAAGTGAGTCTTGTGTCACTTGCTTGCCTACGAATGCGCATCCATCCATACATACATACGTACGCACATACATACATACATACATACATACGTACACATACACACACAACGGTGAACAGCGTACAATTTTTGTATATATCGCTTCGATGTACACAAAATCTTATGTGTATGTGTGTCATGCTTGCGCAGGTTACTCTGCAGTTGCAGCCGATGTTCAAGCGGTCCGTCACGTTCCTGGAGCGCGACGACTCTGACCTGGCGGCGCAGGTGGCCGTGTGGGGCCATCTGCACGAGTTCGGCGACATGACGTGGCTGCCGCGGCAGGGCAAGGTGATCTACCGCGAGGACGACCGTGTCGACGTCTCGACGCCCGGCGACGGCCTCAACGACTACCTCGGCTTCCGCTCCTTCCCAACCCTCGGGCTCGTCATCGCGAGAGTCGCGGAGGAGCACGTGGAGGAAAGCAACGACATGGCGCGGTGCCTGGCCGCGGGGGTGCTGCCGGCGTCGTTCCCCATGCAGGCATACGGCTTCACCAACGACGGCTCCTCCTTCACGGGGTACCCGGTGGTCGGGTACCAGCACCGCATCCAGGCGTCCGGCTCGTGCATCAATGCCAGGGACACCCTGGTTGTCCGCTCCTCGTGCCCGTGGGACCCACGTGTCCGGAGCCTCTTCTTCTACAACACCGGCTTTAGCGTCGCGCTCTCCAAGGCCCCGGCGCTGGTCGCCGACATGCAGCGGCTCCGCGACCTCGACCCGCGTGCCCTATGCGGCCTCGACGCCAAGATGGGCGTGCTCATCCGCTACGTCGGGGCCTCCTCCGCCTACCTCGGCAAGGCGGAGGAGTCGGTCAACTTCGACTTCACCTACTACCGGAGCTACACCCAGGGCAGGCCGCGCGCCCACTCCGATGTGATCGACGAGCTCGAGCAGATGGCTTTGCGCAAGTACGGCGCCGTCCCGCAGTGGGGCAAGAACCGCAACTTCGCCTTCGACGGCGCCGTCGCGAAGTACGCAAAGGCCGGCGAGTTCCTCAAAGTGAAGGAGAGGTACGACCCGGACGGGGTCTTCTCTAGCGAGTGGAGCGACCACGTGCTCGGCGTCGATGGGAGCCCCAACGTCGTCCACAAGGGTTGCGCCATTGAAGGGCTTTGCGTGTGCTCTGAGGACTCGCACTGCGCGCCGGAGCAAGGTTATTTCTGCCGGCCGGGGAAGGTGTACGCGGAGGCAAGGGTATGCTCATTCCGACCCACCTCCCACCGCGAGCACAACGATGAAATATGAATCTAGTCATGGATGGGTCAAGAAGTGGTGCGATCTAATGTTGAATTACTATGCTTTTGTAAGTGGTGTGTTGATTTACTTCATTCTCTTCCACATGGTTATCTAAATCATTTTCCCGAACGAGCTGCGTGGGCGAAAAGCTGCTGCTACGTGTGTTCGTGGTCGGGGTTAGGAATAAGAAAAAAAAAAGAGGGGATTTTTTCATTTGCGCCAGCTGAGTTGGCAGTGTAGAAGTCAAAACCGCCCGACTAACTCAAAACCAAAACCAGGGTTGAGTTGTGAACCTCAAGGTTAGTTGGAGGTGTATTTCAACCAGTTTCGGAGTTTGGGGTTGTAAATTAAACCGTGTGGTTAGTTCAGGGTTGAAATATGGACTTCTCTCTCCTCTGCCCAATATGGCCGACGGCACAATCCGCATCAATGGATGGATGGATGGGGTGCGGGGTTCCGGGCGCGGCGGGGGAACAATTGCTTGTCTATGGTTTATGTGCAAGTCAAACTTATGTATTTTTGAACAAAATTATAGAATAAAATACCAACATCTACAATACAAAATTAAATAAAATATAAAAATACTTTTGTGATGGATCTAATGATAAAAAATTGGCACAGTACATATTAATATATATTTCTAAAAAATTGATCAAACATGCATATGTTTGAATTTTGAAAATACTAACACACCTTATATTTTGGAATGAAGTAAGTAAGTAATAAGGGCATCTCCAACGCTGATTCTCCCTAAAATGGACACGGTATTTGTCCGTGGACCGGTCTGGATTGGTGTCCGGACATGGATACGGGAGCGCGGCATCCAACCATATACCCCAAGTGTTCGGTTTCATTAACTAAAAAAACAAGATTTCGCCAAATTCTTCTGCAAATTAACAACCTTTTGCCAACATGTTATAAAGAAACTTAATAAAAAAACCTTAGTAGTAAACAACTAATCACCTTGCTAATCATACACCTCCGCAAAAATGGGTTTGATCATTTTCAAACCTTACAGCAAATGCCCAAATCTATTTGCAAATCTTCCGTCATTCCGTCAAACGTGTGATAAAAACCTTAATAGAATTTGGCGAAGTACACCTCCCGCCAAATACCCAAATCTATCTGCAAAGCTTCCGCCGAATGCCCAAATACTAATCACCATTCATCTTTGAACATGCTAGCCTTCCGCCAATTAACAACTATAGCCAGCGGTTTTCCGCCGTCCGGACGAAGAGGGGGGTACGTGGCGGCTTTTGATTTATCATGAGGATGTCCGGACCCCCGCAGAGTCTCTCTTTGTTTGGTTTCGATGCGCGGGAAAACGGATATCCAGACCGCTCTGTGTACCGATGTGGTGCCGTGCTTGGTTGGTAAATTATGTCCGGACAGCGCGGTCCGGCCGGATGCGGGCGATTTGAGGGTCCGCTTTGGAGGTGTGACGAAAACACACAAGTTTGCATCGTGATTGTAGGAGAGCGCATTGCACACTGAGGGCATCTCCAGCCGCGCCCCAGGAAGGCCTCCCCAGGCGATTTTTTCGCGCCGGCGCCGAAAAAATGGCCCAGTCGCGCCCCCAAGAGCCCGATTTTCACCGGTTCGGACCTTTTTTCCGCCCGGCGGTCACAGACCGAACCCGACGCGCTGGGAAGCCGTTGGGGGCTCCGGCGCTAGGAAAAAGCACGCCTGGCCCACACCGACAGGGGAAAAGTCAAGGTTTTCTTCCCCCGACTCGCCTCGCACCCCCCGCGCCCTCGGCCACCACTAGCTACATCCCGGCGACGGCCGCCGGTCTACTCCGCTAGATAGCCATTCCCCGCCGGAAAATAGCAGCGCTTCGCCGCGGCAGCCCCTCCCGCAGCCAGCTGGTCATTTCCGGCCGCCGTCTCCGGCCGCGGAGGCGCGGTTTAACAGCGGGTACACGCCCACCGAGCGCAAGGTGTTCGACGTTTTGACTGTCTCGGCGATGGACTCGGATGAGGAGGAAGAGCTCGCCGCGTTGCTGGAGGAGGAAGCCAATGCAACAAGGGGTACTATCTAGCTGACGGCATCTATCCGAGATGGTCGACATTTGTAAAGACGATCTCAAACCCTGTGGCAGGAGGCAAGAACGCCTGGTTTGCGAAGGTTCAAGAGGCTTGCAGGAAGGATGTCGAGCGGGCATTTGGTGTGCTCCAATCTCGATTCGCTGTTGTTCGGTACCCCGCTCAGACCTGGTCGAAAGATCAAATGTGGGATATCATGACTTGCTGTGTCATCTTGCACAACATGATCATCGAGAGCGAGCAAGAAGACCCAGTGTTTGACACTGAACCATACTACAGGCAGGGTCCTCTAGCCGAAGTTGATCACCAGCTACCGGCAACTTGGACTGCCTATCTCAGTATGCGTCAGGAGATCCGAAACCCACAGGTGCATCATTAACTGCAGAAAGATCTAATTGAGCACCTAGGAGGCTCAAGGGGACGCCGCGTGATGAAATACGAGTTTTTATTTGTTGAACTATATAATTTGTATTGAACTATTTGTTGTTGTAGTATTTTGTTGAAGTATTTGATTTTTCTGAGATGAAATATGTGAAAAGGAATAATTGTGTTGATAATTGAACGCCGAGACACGGCGAAACCACGCCGATTATGAGCCTATTTTTGCCCATATGGGCCGTTTATTCGCCGAAATTGGGCTGCAAAGCGGGCCAATTTTGACGCCTGGGGGCGAGCTGAAGGCGACGACTGGGCGCAAAACCGCCCCAGCGTCGAGTGTATCGCCGGCTCGCCCCAGAGGGGGCTTTGTATGCATCCTGGGGGCCAACGGCTGGAGATGCCCTGAGGAGTGAGGCCAAGACGTGGCAAGAAGCTTCTCTCTCGTGCTCTCAACCCCCACAGCACACCACAGTTGGAGATCGCCCGCCCGCACTTGACAGCCAGAGTCCCAGATCTCTCGCCGGATGCCGGACATGGAGGAGTCCACGCAGCCGAAGCCCGCCGACCCGGAGCTCCCCAACGGCGCCGGGGCCCCGGACCACCCGGAACCGGAGCCGCCGTCGCCCGCTGCCGCCGCGCCGGCGGCAGAGGAGGAGGTGGCGGCGAGATCGGAGCCGTCCAAGGGCGCGGGGACGAACGCGGACGGCTGGCGCCCCTACACCATGGGGGAGCTGCTCGGGGAGGCCGCCGAGGCCGCCGCCGCCGGGAGATCCGACTTCGCCGCCGACGGGAATGGGCCCGGATCCGCCACCCCCGAGCGCTCCAGGTCACTGCCCGCTCCCTCCCTCCCTCCCTCCCTCCCTGCCCGCGCCGGGCCGCCCGGATCTCCATCGCCCCAACCAACGACCTCTACTTTAGCAGTCTTGTGCCGCTTGGTTGCGCTTAGTTGCAGATCTCTGATGTAGTTTGCGCGCAATTGCGCTGCTCCTGCTTAGCTCTGTATCTGTACGGTGCTCGTTGCTGCTGCGCTGAACCTGAATTGCTTGCTTGCTTGCTGCTTCCAGTTGCGCATATGGGTTGCTTGACTTGTTAGATGTCTCAGGCTGGATCCCTCATGTCATTTTGCAGCACGGTTTAATTGACTAGATGTGTTGATTCATGTCCCGTGAAGCTTGGAATGAAATGTGCTGTGTGCTGCTGCTTCAGATGGCTGCTGCTAGTAGGCATGGAATACAGGTCTATGATTTTATTGTAGGTAGCAACCCAATGTCCAGGGCGTGCACGCTTAAGTATGTCAAGTACCGGCCGACATACATTGCGCTGTTTGAGCTGTGTGGGTGTGGTGGAGGCGATGACGTCTGGCAAGTAAGGAGTGCCCTGATGGGCCTAGCTGAGAGCTTGTTCGGGGGACAGCTGCGCCCCGACTTGACACCACTGGAGGCAATGACGGTCGACGACCATAGGCGGCGGCGGCGAGGCATCGGAGCTGGAGGAGAAGGTGCCAGTGTTGGGAGAGGAGGGGTGG